AAAGATGAAGAGTCTTAAAATCTGAGTGTTCCAATGTTAATGTATATGCATTCTGAAGTTCTAATTTGTATACATTTTGAAGTGGAAGATCTTTTATGGTCAGCCATAAAAGATTCTAACAAAACCTGACTTAAGAGTCTCACTGGAGGATCTAGAAATTACTAAAGAGGTGCTCTCTCAGATTTAAAAAAAAACCTTTTTAAATTTTTGGTTTTTTTCTATTTTTCTGGAGATCCTGCGCTTGTAATGTCCATGAAAGTGGAGAACCTACTAGAAATACATGTGTAGTAACTTTTAATTTTTAAAACCAGAACATTGTACAAAGTGTTTTAAAGTGACTAGTACTACGTGCTATGAGAAAGTGAACTATGTGACATGTATATTTTATGAATATGTCAGAATCTTATTAATGTGTTTGCTTTGCTGCACCTCAGGGCCGTAGCCAGAAAAAAAATTCGGGGAGGGTTGAAAATTTGGGGGGGGGGGGGGTTGAAACCTGCCTCGTAGCTCACGCTGAAGCAAAGAGCACAGCAGGGGGCGGAGCAGCCTTCAATAGCCTGCAGCTCCACCCCTGTCATCCACCTCCACCAAGTCTGGCCTCCTTAATGAGAGCATTCAACACACACACACACACACCCCAACTTGGTTGCTTCGCTACATCGGCTATTGCTGAAAGTAATGACAGTGTGAATAAATTGTCAATATTTGCTTGAGATAGTGCTTGCAGTTCTGGAGGGACTCTTAATTTTTTACATCTCATAGACTTAGCATGGGGATTTGGTTAACCAGCTAAAATTCATGAGTAAACCAGGTTCATTTTTTTTAACCTGAAAAATTTGGGGGGAGGGTTGAACCCCTAAACCCCCCCCCCCCTCGCTACAGGCTTGCTGCTCCTTATTGTAGGTGATGATGTGTCCAGTAGTTCTTTTCCTAGATGTAGTGGCTGGTATATTTGCTGTATCTTTTTCTAGACAGAACAACATGCTTCAACAACCCATGACTGCAGATCTGTATAATTACAAAAAACATGAATATGTAATGAAAATGATGAATAAGTTAAACTGAAGCTACTGAGCAGCTGAATGTGTACAAAACATGAACAAGGGTTTATACAAAAAGGAAATGAACGTCAATCTATATATAAAACAATAGGAGGATTTGCCAATGTATTACAGAAATCCAATATGATACGCTACATGTACATTCATGTTTGCTTTTTCATCAGTGCCGTTTTGTGTTGTTTGTGTTCTTTGTCCGTTCTGAAACAAGATTCCTTTTTTTAAAAAAAGAAGAGAATACAAGTGTTTAATGACAGATTACAGAGTGGAGGATAGAATGAGATGGAGAAAAACAGAAAGAGAGAGAAGCTTGCCATCTCAGGGATTTATTTATTTTTTTGGTAAATGATTTTTATTCGAACACTAGCTTGGGGACCTGGCATTGCTCAGGTTATTTGAAAAATGCAATTTTTAAATGTACAAAATGCATAAGGTTGTGAATTAAGTACAACTGACATCATGCCAGGTTAACCATGAGAAACTCCATCAGTACTTAAAGTTTGTTATGTTGGGCATGTTTGCTCTAGATCAGTGGTTCCCAATCTTTGGTCCCCCAGACTTAAACTCCCAGAAATCCCAGTCAGTTTCCTAGCTGTTAGGAATTTGGGAGCTGAAGTCCAAAACACCTGGAGGACTAAAGGTTGGAAACCACTGCTAAATGCATCCTCAGTGGGGTTCAGTGCGCTCTCAGGCAGTAGGGTAAACCACAACTCCTACTATGGTGAGTTAGTCCCCTCAAACCCCTCCAGTAGGTTCAGTTGGTCATGGGAGTTCTGTGTGCCAAGTTTGTGGGTTGTGGGTGAACTATAACTCCCAGAAACAAACGTCAGTTCCCCCAAACCCCTCCAATAATCAAATTTTAACATAACATGTATGTGTTTCTAGTTTGGTCCAGATCCATCATTGCTTGGGTTCACAGTGCACTCTGGATGTAGGCGAACTACAACTATAAATCCCTCCAAAGACCACCAGTATTTTTTTTAGTCGTGGAGGTTCTGTGTGTCAAGTTATTTCCAGGTCCATCGTTGGTGGAGTTCAGAGTGCAAGTGAACTATACATCCCAGTATCTAAACTCCTATAAATAATGGTGAATTCTCCCCAAACCCCTCTAGTATCAATTCCTGATCAATTCCTCTGATTTCTGTGTGCCATAGAAAATAATAGGAAAGGATTAAGGGTGGGGTCATGCAAATTCCACAGTCAGAAACACTGGGATGTCTGTAGTGGAGGAAACACATGCATTCTAGGATGAAATTGTCGCCATATGAAAGCCTTCACTTGAGGGGTGGGCAGTATGGCATAAGTGGAGGACATTGGCAGGGCTCTTGTACATGTTAACTGCGCTCTCTGTAACCTGCAGTGTCATTGAAGGGAGGGCCACTGCTGTCTTCTGAGTAGTGGGAGTTATAGCTATTTGTGGAAGTGGGAAACTGTCTGTAAGTGGGCACCCCAGCCACATACATACATACATATTTTTATTATGCGTATAGATTCAAAGAAAAAAACATACTTGTAAAATAACAACACAAAATGAAATTAAAACTGGCATTAAAAAGCCATGTTATGTACTAAAATAACACACCTTTATCAACAACATACAGGCAGTACATATTCTAAACAATCCTTCTAAATTAATCTGTAGGCCTCCCGCTCATTGCCTATTGATTCTAAGTGAGACAAAGTTTCTTTCCAGTTGGCCACAGTGTTTCATACATTGGTGTCTCCAAACTGGATCATAGATAGGGCTGTCTTTGAAGAGTATTTGGGACCCATTCACACTACACAATTATAGTAGCACTGTGACTTCATTTTAATTGCCATGACTGGGCCTTTTGGAATTATAGTGTTGGTATATAGAATCTACTGCTAAAATTGGGTAGTGAAATTTGAAATGTGCTTGATAAGCGCAAGTTCCAAATATTCTTGCCATCTGTATGAGCTTACAAATGGGTTCAAACCAAGTCCAGTGTGCTCGCTCTGACCCTTTTATAGCTCTAAACTTCCCCTCCAGAAATTATGGGAATTGACTCTGGGGTGGGTTTTTTTTTTTTTGTTTGTTTGTTTTGACCTTCCTGATGTTTTCAAATATAAATTGCCTCCAACTTTCCTCAACTATTTGAGACAAGGATATATCCAAGTTAGCCTTCTAGCCTACGATTTTGCTTAAGTCATCTTCAGATTCTTTTCTGCACTTCCGCTGTACAAAATATGTCAGGGTAGTCCACATCTGATGGATTTTATCTATAGTGGACCCAAACTTACAAAATTCTGTGGTAAGAATGACCCATTTGCTTGACCATCATCTTCCAAGATGGCCTTTTTTTTTTTGAAAGACATTTGGGCTGTGAGATATTGATACTGTTTTGTGTTTTTGATTGGTTATTTGGTGGTGCCTTAGCCTTGTGTCTGCTGGCTGTTCCTATGTGGCTTTATTATATTTTATGCGCAAGTCACTATTGCAGTGTTTCTCATCCTGGGGTTCGGGACCCCGGGGGGGGGGTCACGAAAGGGTGTCAGAGGGGTCGCCAAAGAACATCAACAAACACAGCATTTTCTGTTGTCATACGGGTTCTGTGTGGGAAGTTTGGTCCGATTCTATTATTAGTGGAGTTCAGCATGCTGTTTGATTGTAGGTGAACTATAAATCCCAGCAACTACAACTCCCAAATGTCAAGGTCTACAAGTGTTCACATTTGGGCATATTGTGTATTTGTGCCAAGTTTGGTCCAGATCCATCATTGTTTGACAACACAGTGCTCTCTGGATGTAGGTGAACTACAACTCTCAAACTCAAGGTCAATGCCCACCAAAACCTTCCAGTATTTTCTACTAGTCATAGGAGTTTTGTGTGCCAAGTTTGGTTCAATTGCACCATTGATGGAGTTCAGAATGCTCTTTGATTGTAGGTTAACTATAAATCCCAGCAACTATAACTGTCAAATGACAAAATAATCCCCCGAAACCCACCAGTATTTAAATGTGGGCATATCGGGTATTTGTGCCAAATTTGGTCCAATGAATGAAAATACATCATGCATGTCAGATATTTACATTATGATTCATAACAGTAGCAAAATTACAGTTATGAAGCAGCAATTAAAATAATGTTATGGTTGGGGGTCACCACAACATGAGGAACTGTATTAAGGGGTCGTGGTATTAGGAAGGTTGAGAACCACTGCACTATTGGATGCGTAGTGAATAGGAAGGCAAGATAAAGATACTTCCGAGTAGCTCATGCTCAGAGTTCACAGTTTGTGAAATTAAAAAAGAACTCTTAATGAGTCATACTTCACAACTCTAAAGTTTTTAACCACACGGAGAAGATAAAACTACACTAGCCTCAAATTCTAACAGTCTAGTATTTTGAATTGCCATTAATGCAGGATGTAGGAGTGGCAATAAAGCCACTCATCACAACAATGGAGCCCCCGGTGGCGCAGTGGTTTAATGCCCTGTGCCAGCAAGACTGAAGACCGACAGGTCACAGGTTCGAATCCGGGGAGAGGCGGATGAGCTCCCTCTATCAGCTCCAGCTCCTCATGTGGGGACAAGAGAGAAGCCTCCCACAAGGATGATAAAACATCAAACCATCCGGGCGTCCCCTGGGCAATGTCCTTGCAGACGGCCAATTCTCTCACACCAGAAGCGACTTGCAGTTTCTCAAGTCACTCCTGACATGACAAAAAAAATCACAATGATTTATTAAGTTTGGACTTTTCGATGTTTACATTCAAAATGTCCCCATCCTTTCTAAAAGGTGTTTTCCTGGGATTTGTGTGCTGCTTTGAAAAAATAAGGAATGCAAAAATGTCAGTATCCAGCAGTTGATTGATTTTTGTTTCCATCTCATGATGAGGGCTGTTTGCTAAAATGTTGGTGATGCCTGCAAAAGCCTGCTTTGCAAGAAACTCTTCTGATGGTCTTCATGTTTCCTGTTAGGTACAGCACATGGGAGCCAGAGGATCACATTCTTGACCCTCGTCTGGTGATGGCTTATGAAGAGAAGTAAGAACATTTCTTCTTTCTTTTGGGGAGTCTCAGTTGTCTTGCATTTCCATCAGAGGTCTAAGTAAGAGGGACTAATTTCACTAAGGAATTTTTCCTGTCCTAATGAGACAGGAAAATGGATAATTACATTACATACAAAAAATCCCTGCATATCAGCAGGGTTGGGGCACTGTTGGCCTTCTAAATGTTGGACTGCAGCTCATATTAGTATTTTTATAGCCTTGTTAGGAGTTACATTACACAGTAACCATGAGACTCATATCTGTAGTTTCACTTACTCACATCCAGGGAAAATGGTGTCTAGAATTTGCTAGGTCCTCCAGACAATTCCTTGGTATGCTTTCCCTGGAAGCTTCCATAGAGTCAACCTAGAGAAGATTCCTACTAGAGAGAATACTTTTCAAAGAATGTCTAAATGCTCCAGGGAAATTCTATGATATGCTGGGACTAGAAGTCGAATAATTTAATGGTGTTCTGTCATATTTGCCATCTCAGGTAACCGCAGTCTGACCAGGAACATATCTCCTGTAGTTAGTTGGGTTTCATTGTATGTGGAAGATCACACACACACACACACACACACACACACACCCTTCATTATATCTTAACTGCCTAAATGTTTTCCCTTCATTTTATCTTAAGGCCCAGATAGGCCCTATCTACCAGGATATGATCCCAGGTTTTCTGTTTATCTCAGATTATCTGGCAGTAGGGATTCATATAATCCAGTGGGTTAAACTGCTGAGCTGCTAAACTTGTCGCAGGTTCAAATCCGGGGAGCATCGTGAGCGTCCTCTGTCAGCCCCAGCTTCTGCCAACCTAGCAGTTTGAAAACATGCAAATGTGAGTAGATCAATAAGTACCGCTCTGGCGGGAAGGTAATGGCACTCCATGCAGTCATACTGGCCACATGACCTTGGAGGTGTCTATGGACAACGCTGGCTCTTTGTCTTAGAAATGGAGATGAGCACCAACCCCCAGAGTCTGACACAACTGGACTTAATGTCAGGGGAAAAGCTTTACCTTTACCTAAAGCAGAAAACATTGGATCGGATCCTGGGATATAGGGCCTGTCTGGAAGGGCCCTTAATTGCCTGAGAGTAGTTAAGGTTTCCTAGAGTGTGATATGGCACTTGACGTGATACAAGAAGAAAATACCAGATTCCAGGTTGCTGAGATACTAAAATCCAAAATAGGTGGCCGGTACCACATTTACCCCCATCAATCTATCTAGCTTCTGGGTAGAAGTAAAACATCAAACCATGTAAACATGTAAGTCAGAGTTTTCCACATGTCTTGTTCTAATAGAGAAGGGCCACTCTCAAGGTGTTTTTGGAGTTCAGCTTCTATCATTCCAGCTAACAATGCCAGGGATTTGGGGAATTTTAATCCAATGACATCAAGAAGGCCACAGGTGCCACACACCTAAAATAACATGTAGTTGAACTTTAAATGGTCATATGTAGGTTGGTAAGAATGGCTGTTCACTATCTATGATATTTTCCCTTTCAGAAAAGGCTTTGAACTCTACTTAGCATTTTAACAAAGGATCCAGATAGCACAAACTTTGTGTGTATGTATAAGTATATATTACACTGTTGCATATATAGAATATAGTTACCTCTATTATCTACTGCAAGATTAGGTTGTTGTAAACTGAAATAAGTCTTGACTACCAACCCCAGTCTGATAAAATCCTTTTCACCATGGTTCATATTCACACAAGCATGAGCTCTATGAGATGTGTAAAATAACAGTAGTGAAAAATACTCTTGCTATATTTTCCCTTTGTTAACAGATTAACTGCAAAGTCTCTTCTGTCTCCTCAGGGAAGAAAGAGAGCGTGCCTCCGGTTATAGGAAGAGGGGCCCCAAACCCAAGCGCCTATTGCTGCAGGTAATTCCCCGAATTTGCTGGATTATCCTGCCTATTGCCTAGTTCCACGGTTACTTGTCCAACTTCTTCCAGATATGGAATATCAGATATTGCAGCCCTGTAGTTCCCATAGGCTCTAATCAACATCAGTCTTAGGCTGTGGTCAAGAACAATATAGTAAAAAGGTAAAGGTTTCCCCTGACATTAAGTCTAGTCGTGTCCAACTCTGGGAGGTGGTGCTCATCTCTTATCTCTATTTCTAAGCTGAAGAGCCAGTGTTGCCCATAGACACCTCCAAAGTCATGACTGCATGGAGCACCGTTACGTTCCTGCCGAGAAGGTGGTACCTATTGATCTACTCACATTTGCATGTTTTTGAACTGCTAGGTTGACAGAAGCCGGGCCTAACAGCAGGAGCTCACCCCACTTCCCGAATTCAAACCGCCAGCCTTTTGGTTGGCAACTTCAGCAGCTCATCAGTTTAATCCACTGCACCACGAGGGGCCCCAAGAACAATATAGTACCATAATATCTGGAGGTCCAGGCCTGGAAAAAGCTGCCTTAGTTCATCCCTTCCCCACATGCAAAATATTAAGGAGAAGTTAGCCTTCATGGGTTAATATTTTGCCTCACTCACAATCATGCATTCAGAGCAGCAATTAAATGTTTGGCTCATTCTCAACATTCTCCATTGTGATTATTTTGGTCTCATGAAAGAGGTTCAAGAATTCTTATTCGTAACATAAAAAAATCATCTGTTATGGTTTTGAGCACACCATTCCATGCTTTTAAAGTGAGGGCAAGGAACCTATGATGCTTCAATGTTGAGTTACTATTCCCATCATCCCTCACCATTCATTAGGCTGGAAAAGAAGGATGTGAAGTGGGCGGCATCAGGTTTCCCACACTTGACCTTTGATCCTTCAGATATTTTTTGGCCTTCAACTTGCAGAAGCACCTATAACAGCATTTCTCAACCTGGGGGTCAGGACCCCTGGGGGAGGATCATGAGGGGATGTTAGAGGTGTCACCACAGACCAGTTTTTTCTATTGGTCATGGGGGTTGTGTGTGGGAAGTTAGTCCCAAATCTATCACTGGTGAGGTTCAGAATGCTCTTTGATTGTAGATGAACTCTACATCCCAGCCACTACAACTCGCAAATGTCAAGGTCTATTTTCCCCAAACTCCACCAGTGTTCACATTTGGGCATATTGAATATACGTGCCAAGTTTGATCCAGATCCATCATTGTTTGAGTCCAAAGTGCTCTCTGGATGTAGGTAAACTACTGCTCTCTGGATGTAGGTAAACTACAACTCAAAAATTCAAGGTCAATGCCCACCAAACCTTTCCAGTATTTTCTGTTGGTCATGGGAGTTCTGTGTGCCACATTTGGTTCAGATCCATTGTTGGTGGAGCTCAGAATGCTCTTTGATGGTAGGTGAACTATAAATCCCAGCAACTACAACTCCCAAATGACAAAATAAATCCCCCCAACCCCACCAGTATTCAAATTTGGGCGTATCAGGTATTTGTGCCAAATTTGATCCAATGAATGAAAATACATCCTGCATATCAGATATTTACATTACGATTCGTAACAGTAACAAAATGACAATTATGAAATAGCAACGAAAATAATTTTATGGTTGAGGGTCACCACAACATGAGGAACTGTATTAAGGGTTTGTGACATTAGAAAGGTTGAGAATCACTGCCCTATAATGTAGCCAGTGGACACAGAGTCTTGAGGACTGAACTCCCAAATGACTGAACGACCAAAGACTGAAGACCATTGACTTTAATTGATATTACAGTCTGTATACCCAACATCCTATCAATAACTTATGCTTGTGTACAACCCTTTTTTAGGATGGGGCACAGAGGGTTATTCACTTTCCTTAATCTTCCAAGCAGAAGCCCCAGGAGGCCATCCTCCTTTTTTCTAGTGGAAGGTGGGAGGCTATGAAGTGGCTACTCCTAACTCCTGGGGAAAGGGAAAAGTAGATGTACTCCCATGTAAGAGTGCAGCCCCATTTCCTTCCTCCTGCAAGCTGAGACCACCTGCTTCTCTGTGACCTGAATCGCCTCTCTTTTTCCCACCACTAAGTGATAAAAGCAGCAGGGCTTGGCAGCCGGTGGGAAATGGGAAGATGCGGAGCTGTCAATGTGTGCAAATGGGGTCTTGTTCTACGGTTTGGGCCCTGCCTATATTGGCGATCGCATCTCCTTCTATGAACTGGCGCAAACTTTAGGATCTTCCGTGGAGGCCCTCCTTTCGCTCCTACCACCGTCAGAAGCACGGTTGGTGAGGATGAGAGAGAGGGCCTTCTCGGTGGTGGCCCCCTGCCTCTGGAACGCCCTTCCTAGAGAAATAGAACAGGCTCCATCCCTCCCCTCCTTTCATAAGAGCCTGAAGACCTGGTGGTTTAAACAAGCCTTTGAGAATGACTAGTTCTAGCTCAGCCCCTGATACTATTGAATATGGCTATATCTTTTTCTACCAATTATCCAGGTTACTTCCTCCTATTAGGCCCCGGAAATGAACAGCCATAGACTCTACCTAATTTCCCAGGCCGTCTACAAATTGCACTAGCCTCAACCCGGCCTTTTAAATTGCCTTGAACAGTCAGGATTATTTTAAATATATATGTGCTATTGTGATTTTTTTGCTTATATTGTCTTGTTAATTTTATGTTTATGTTGTTTACTTTGTGTGTATTGATGATGTTACTTGGAAACAGCTCTGAGTCCCCTCGGGGAGTTGTTGTTGTTGTTGTCCTCCTGTGAAAGAATGTAGATGCCTTTGTAAACCAGGCAAACCAGAAAGTGGTTCCATTTTTCTCTCTTTGCAGAGGCTGTATAGCATGGACCTGAGGAGTGCCCACAAAGGGAAAGAGAAACTCTGCTTCTCTCTATCACGGAGGTTTGGAGGAGGAAACAATCTGGCAGGGAGCAAGGGAGAGCAGACAGAGCTGCCCGAGAAAAACGGGGGAGCAGTCCTGCCTTTCCCACTTCGGAAGCAGAGCAAGAACCAGAAGTACCTGCGCCTTTCACGGAAGAAGTTCACCCGCATGTCGAGCCTGGAGAACCGGAACCGCCGGCGGGAGTTCTTCCTGAAGGAGCCGGTGGCATTGGAGGACAGGCAAACTCCCAGTGACTGGGATGAGGCCGTGCAGCCCTCCAGCAAAGACGGTAAGAATGGGTTACAGGTTCAGGTTTTCTGCACCCATGGGAGGGGGCCACTGTGGGCATGGAGAAGTACTTTGACTTGTTCTTATTTATTTACCATATTTATACCCCATAGGGGACTCAATATTCTCTTATTATACTGGAATATTACTAACTGAATGCTTGGTCCCACATCCACGTCTTTAGCCCTTTCCTGAAGGTCAGGAGGGAGAGGGCTGATCTAATTTCACTAGGGAGGGAGTTCCAAAGCTGAGGGACCACCACTGAGAAGGCCCTGTCTCTCATCTCCACCAACTGCGCCTGCAAAGGAGGCAGGACCGAGAGCAGGACCTCCCCAGAAGATCTTAACCTCCTCACTGGCTCAAAGAGGGAGATACATTCGGACAGGTAAACTGGGCTGGAACCGTTTAGGGCAGTAGTTCTCGACCTGTGGGTCCCCAGGTGTTTTGGCTTACAACTCCCAGAAATCCCAGCCGGTTTACTAGCCATAAGGATTTCTGGGAGTTGAAGGCCAAAACATTTGGGGACCCACAGATTGTGAAACACTGGTTTAGGGCTTTATAGGCTAAAGCCAGCACTTTGAATGGTGAAAGTGAATATTTTTCTTCTTCTGTATTTATGGATATTCCGTATAAGATCCATTCTATTTAATGGACTCAGTGATTCCACGAGATAGATAGATAGATAGATAGATAGATAGATAGATAGATAGATAGATAGATAGATAGATAGATATCACTGCAGGCAGTGGTTATATAGGGACAAAATCTGTGCAGATTGATCTCAAAACAAGGAAGTGAATATTTTTCTAATAGAATGCATTAAACTTGTATTTCATATTCCTGTGCAGTTGACACTCTTCATGGTATTGCTTTCCTGTTTTTAAAACAGATCTAAAGAAGCTGAGGTAACATTTAATGACAGAGTTAACTTAGTAGCATGTGGCAAGAAATTTCCTACCTTGGGAAAATATACTCTGGTGCAGCTATATAGTGGACCTGTGCAATGACACACTATGGGAAGCAGGGGGCATCATAGTTTCTTGCACATCTGCAGAAGGAGGATGCCTCAACAGTGGCAGGCAGATAGAGCAAACATTTGCTATCACAGGAGGGAGAATGCAAGCTAGACTCTTTTAGAAGCAATCCTGAATATCCTTTTAAGATAGCCTTTTGTAGAGTTTAAGTGGTCAGCAATGCAACATTCCAAAATTCGGCTGGCCTTGTTTAACACGGTTTTACTTTAATTTTTGCTCAGATTATTTAGATTAGAAAGAGCAAAGTGATTTACTTTTATTTTCTAAATGCAAAGCGGCTTTTTCCTTCTCTTATATCTGGCAATAAATGCAGGATGCTTTGGAATCTCAGCTGTAACATTATGAGGCCCCATGAGGCATACCTAGCAAAACTATTAGAGACATGTGAGACATTATTATTTTTATCATTATCATCATTATTATCCCTTCTACATGTACACTCAAGGGAATTTCTAGGTAGTGTTGGAGAGAATGGAGTCTTTCTTGGGTGAGAGTATACACACCTTGGGTATAACAAAAGGCAGGAGTACTCAGTTAAAGGCTCCACTGTCTCTAGATGCGTTGCAACAGTGATTCACAACCTGTCGTCCGTGGACCACCAGTGGTCCGTAAGAACGAAAATATGGTCTGCTGCCTCACTATTACTATACTGTTGCCTTGAAATCACGCAGCAGCGAGAGCGACTGGTCTCGTGAAACCCTCTAATAGTGCTGAGGCAATGAAGATGTTGGGAGGGGAGAGGCTGACTACCCACAAAAGATTACTACTACTAAATAAACTCTAGATTATTAAATATGGTTTTCTGTGGGTGAGCAGATGGTGATTATTGGATGGCATATGTTCTGTATCAGAAACTAGAGCTGATGTGGTCTATCCAATGCAGTTTTCTGAATCAGCACCCCAAATAACCAAACCAAATCTATAGTTGACCAAAAACTGATTTGTAACCCTTTTGATACTAATGGTCCCTGGTCAAAAAGAAAAAAAATTGGGAACCACTGTGTTAGGAGGAAGGTTCAGAAAAGTAACCGAAAACAAATTTCTTTTCCCTCACCATTTATCTGTTTTTGTATAGGGAATTGTTGCTGCTATTCTTTTTTAATGCAAGGCTCTATGTGAGAAGTCTTCATTGTAAGATAGATTTACTGGGACTGCAGAAGGAAATAACTGTGTCTAATACCTATAAGGGAGGGAGAATGTAACTTTCTACTTGTGCTGCAAGGAAACTCATTTTAACGGCTTTGAAAATTATAACACTCCTTTTTACAGTATTTGGGGGGGGGGGCGTGAATGGAAGGGATTTGAAAATTATTTTCTGGTACTTAGTAGCATATCCTGGACTGCGAATAGATAATTGGTGATGTAAGTACCGGTAAATCTCATTGTTATTTGAAACTACTAAAATGCCAGCATTATACCCGGATTGTGTGTATACGTGTTGTGTGGTGTACCTTCTGCCTCTTTCCAACTGTTTCTTTGTACTAATAATTGGTCAGTTACATGAGAGAACAATTTTTTATTCTGATTTGTCTTTATTTTTTCCGCTCCCATGCTGGTACCTTCCCTCCTTCCCTTTCCACAGTGAGCTCGGAGGCAACGGAAGGCAACCTTTCATGGAGCCCTGCTTTGCCCCCAAATGAAGTGACAGTGACGGATATCACAGCAAACTCCATTACCGTGACTTTCAGAGAAGCACAAATGGCAGAGGGCTTCTTCCGAGACCGAAGCATCCAATTCTGAGTCTCCAGTTCTGTTTCATCTTTTATTTCCTTTTTTCCATGTTTGGGGAACTCACTCAGTTTTTGGTTTTGTTTTGTTTTGTTTTCATCTCCTGCATTCCCAGGCAGATTTTTCTAGGGTGGGCTACATATAATCATATTGTTTAAGAAGCAAAATCCTAAAATTTTCCTTCACAAATGTTTACAGAGGATTTTGGTTTTATTTTGACTGTTGATCTCACTGATTCCTTCTTTTTCTTCCCTACTCTCCTTCCAAATACGCAAAAACAAAACATAAAAAGGCAATGTGGGGGTGCCTATGTTTTTCCTCATTTGTTACTATAAGATATATAGATATATATATATAAAGAGAGAAAGAGAGTGAATGAGTATATAGATATAATACTATCTGTCTGTTGTTGTTTTGTCCATCTGGAAAACTGAAACTCTTTATTGGCAAGGTTGGTTGTTCGCGGTGCATTATGGAAGAATGTTGTTCATGCCCTGTAGCAATTATAGCCTATCCGTGGTAAATGTAGTGGCTTGGGGTGAATGTCCAAAAGTAGGGAAGGCACCAAATACAAATATCTTTGTATTCTTCCATGTTTCAGTGTTGATTTCCCTTGTCAAACTACTTCCCTGTGAAAAATAGTCCTTCCTTCCTTTCTTGGGATGGCTTATTTTGACGCTGTCTCTCTTACCAGGGCTTTACAAAATGTGCAACAAACCCATTTGAGAGGCTTGGCTATACAGTTGGTACACTGGCTTGCGTGTTTGCATCTCTCAAGGGAACACCTGCACTGGTGCCCTCTCTTTCCATGCTTTTGTTGAAACAGAAGATCCAGAAACAATGCTGCTGTGACCAGGCGCATTGGCAAAAGAAAAACTCATCTTGCTTTTATTCATCCCATTGTGGCAGACCAGTGGTTTTGAAACTCTCTTCCTTGATAATCAAGATAAACTTCAGTAACTACCACTGGCAACGTATTCCTACATTTTGCAGCCACAAGCATGTACCCTGTGTGTCTGTTTGTTTACGTGGGGTAGAGTGAGTCCCCACAGGCTTGCCTGTTGCAATGTGTAAATGTAAAGTCTGCTGCAAAGTCAACTGCAATATCCAACAAGTCGTTGTCAGACTTGCAGAAACTCTCAGCAGTCAATTGGACATAGAAAGGGTTTTTGGTCTTGGGAAATCTGTGAATCTCCTCTCCACCCATCAACCCACCTGGATAGGATTGTGCCCATCTGTGTTCAGAAATGTGAAAGGCCCATGGGGTGGAAGATAAACTGAATGACTGTTTGTGCACGGGTATACAAGGTTTAATCCTTGAATAGCAGCTGGTAAATGAAAAGCCAGTATTGGTCCCACTGGAATAATAATGACAATGGAGTAATGAGGTATAAGAATGGAGCTGCTGTGGCTAGCAGCTAGCAAACTCTAGCTTTATATGTTTACCTTCTGTTGTCTTTGGAGTCATGCACCTTGACCAAGGATGGAGTTGCCTAGAAGTTGTCATTTTATATATGTAAATAATTGTGACAAGACTTTTTAAGGAGCAAAAATCCTAAATATCTCCATCTTGCTTGGTTCGTTCTCAATGTGGTAGTGTCAACAGTGCGCACGGCTACCAAGCAAGTGTTGCAAAACACTCTCTCTGCTTGTATTTAAATATTTGCCAGGCTCCAAATAATTTCTTATGCGAGCTGATGGGAAATCAGTGCCCGTTGATAAGAGACTGGTGTTTTACCTGCCTTGGAGCTCTTTGGATGTGTTAGAAGTGCGAGTGGAGGGTTTTCTTACAGGGTTAGAAACGAGCTGTAACAATTGTCCTTTTGGCTTGTGGCTTCAGCCATGAGCGGGTATAGACCAGGCATGGGCAAACTTGGGCCTTCCAAGTGTTTTGTACTTCCACAATTCCTAACAGCCTCAGGCCCCTTCCTTATGTAAGTGATTTTAATGTTTGTATATATTTATGGTTTTATTACCCGGCATTGAATGTTTGTCGGTGAGAAGGGCGGAATATAAATGTTTTAAATAAATAAACAATAATAAATTTTTCCCCCTCAGCCGCTTAGTCTGTTAGGAATCGAGGGAGTTGAAGTCCAAAACACCTGGAAGGCCCAAGTTTGCCCATGCCTGGTATAGACTAACCAATGGCGAGTTTTCTAATCACAATAAAGTGTCAAAAATATTGGCAGTGGGGATGAAAGGAAGGCTTCTGGTTGGAAGAGACACAGGAGGCTTGCAAAACTCATTTGTCTTCCCCTGCCTATCCTTCTTCCTTTCCAAGCCTCCGGCCCTTTGGTGTGCATCTTTCTATTCAGATGAGGGTATCTCTTTGTGAAAATTTCTGCCTTTGGCAGGGAGAAGCTGCTTCCATTTCCACAGAGCCTTGTCTCGCACTTTAATGCCTTGAAATTTTGTGCTGGACTTCCTTATGTGTTTGATTTTGTAGTCTATAGATTGTATAGCTTTAGTGTATGCTTTTGTGTGTGTGTTGTGTGTGTGCTTCTTTAAATTTATTCAAACTAATGAAAGTTCTAGAAAAAAAATCTTCCTATGGAAAGTGAGGTCGAGAAGCTCAAAAGTAAGGCTGTAGACCAGGCATGGGCGAACTTGGGCCCGCCAGGTGTTTTGGACTCCAACTCCCACCATTCCTAACAGCCTCAGGCCCCTTCCTTTTCCCCCTCAGCCGCTTAAGCGGCTGAGGGGGAAAAGGAAGGGACCTGAGGCTGTTAGGAATGGTGGGAGTTGGAGTCCAAAACACCTGGCAGGTCCGAGTTTGCCCATGCCTGCTGTCAACCTAACCAGATGTATTTCAGGCTATGTCCTACTGAAAGTACTGCAGCTTTTAAACAGCATCCACTTTACTTACTGACCTTCTGTCTTATGAAAGTACCCCTTTTCTTTAATGTCTGTCATTACTTTAATCTGGCAAATTTATCAAAACCATGCTGAAATTGGTAGGCACAGTCTGCCTGCAACTCTACAATGTAGACTTGAAGCCAGTTTTTGAAGGACTGTAACGGTAATCTAGGAAATGATCACCTTGCCACTTTAAGGGTGGCTTCTGCCTATTTAAGAGCATTACAACTAATAGTGTGATTTTCCCCCTTTCTTTCCCAGAGTCCTTTAAAGGCAGAGAGGTGCCATTGTGGGGTCAAAGGGTATAAATCATGATATTTTAAACTATTCACAGTAACAAAGGGGGGTTGGCTTCTTGGGAGTGGAGTGGACTATACTGAGTTTCCTCCCATCTTTCAACCCGTTCTGGCCTCTTTTGTCTTTTCATCAGGCTATAGAATAGCACATCTGGGTTATTGGGGTCCCTTGCTATAAATGCTCCATTTTTCCAAGAAGCATTAGCTGAGCAACAGCTTGTCTCAATACTGAGTTCTTCATGTGGGGAACAAAGATTGGGAAAGTTTTTTTCTTTTTGAGGTGCTGCACCTCCTAGAATCCTTCAGCCGACATAAAAAGTTGTTCTTTTCAGAGTAACCATGGGAATTGAGAAAAACAGCATGTCTGTGAACTGGAATAATCTCCTGGGTTTGTTGTGTTGAAGGCTTTCATGGTAGGAAGCACTGGGTTGCTGTGAATTTTCTGGGCTGTATGGCCATGTCTCTCCTGACATTTCACCCACATCTATGGCAGGCATCCTCAGAGGTTGTGATGTCTGTTGGAAACTAGGAAAATAGGGTTTATATATCTGTGGAATGTCCAGGGTGGGAGAAAAAACTCTTGCCTGCTTGAGGCAAGTGTGAATGTTGCAATTGGCCACCTTGATTAACATTGAATAGTCTTGCAGCTTCAAAGCCTGGCTGGTTGCTGCCTGGGGGAATCCTTTGTTGGAAGGTGTTCGCTGGCCCTGATTGATTCTTGTCTGGAATTCCCCTGCTTTTTGAGTGTTGCTCCTTATATACTGTCCTGAGTTCCTTAGTTTGCTTTTAATCTTGGATCGTCCAAAAAAATTAGAACAGAAATGCTTTTTGTGCTGCACTAGAATTCTGACTAGTTTGTGTCTCAAGGATCATATTGTCTTTTTCTTGATGTCTTCTTGCAGCATGGGATATCAGAGGGTTTTTTTTCCTACACCCTTCAAAATCTTGCAGCCAGTGTGCCCACTTAGCCATGCTCTAGTCCAAGAAAGTAACATTTCCAAGCTCTGCTTCTTCCACTTGCAAATACTTAAACCTTTGTGATCACTGATGATCTATTGAATGGAAATTTAACAGGTCTGTACTCTGCAGATGTTTTACAGAAATGAATAAATCATCTCACTCTAAAAGGTTAGGTACTTGAGGCACATTAACAAGCTGAAATTCAGAAGTCAGGTCAGTTGTCCACTGGACAGTTGACTGCCCTTGACATTTCTGCCTCTAACTCTGATTTTAGAAGGTGATATAGGCAATAATGGCATGGAATTATTCATATTTTTATTTTAATTTCTGTTAATGTTACTATAATCGGGTAAAAAACCAATTCCTTGGGGTTTAAATCAAAAAAGGACTTGGTTAGAACATTTTTTCACAATACTGTGCCCTTAAACTAGATACACTCTTGTTACTATTTTTCGTAGAATTTGGAAAAATCACTGTAGTGATTACTTCTAAAGTCATCGCTTTTACAAACAGAAAGGCTTATCTTACTATATGTTTCCACATCTGGCTACATTTAACTCCTTTTAGATCTTCCAAAAACAAGAATGCTTTGCTTAGTCGCCTAATTTCTCTTCGAGCTAGTTCCTTCCCTTTGAGCCTTATGTACACTGAAAATGTGTATTGGGTTGAGCCCTCAAGATAATGGGAACTTTCCTCTGATTCAGAGGATAAATATTCTCATTAGCACATCTCGTAATAGAGCATGGGAAGGATTGTTGAGTACAAGTCTGCAATACAGATCATGCTGTCCTTCTTTTCCAAAAGCTGTATGTAAAACTGTTCCTCTCTTTTTAAATAAAAGAATCAGTCAAGGCCATCTAACACTTCCAAACAAAGGATCCCCCCAGGCAGCAATCAGCCAGGCTTTGAAGCTGCAAGGCCATTAAATGCTCACCAAGAGGGCCAGTTGCAACATTCACACTTGCCTCAAGCAGACAAGAGTTCTGTCTCCCACTCTGGACATTCCACAGATATATAAACTTCACTTGCCCAGTTTCCAACAGACTTCATAACCTCTGAGGATACTGCCATAGATGTGGGGAAAACAACAGGAGAGAATGCTTCTGGAACATGGACATATGGCCCGGAAAACTCACAGCAACCCAGAAAGGATTCTTACGGCACCTTAAAGACCCTAAAACAAGTCTTCATGGACAGCTGGCCACGTTATCAGATGCAACAGAAAGAGCTGGCTTATGCCATTGGAGCCTATGCCAAATAAAACTTCTTAACCTTTGAAGAGGCCATGCCAGACTCCTTGCTGAAAAAGGCTAGCTGGCTACTCCTCTCTCCTTCCCCCATTTCTACAACAGAAAGCCTAAGAAGTTAGACTGCTTCCCCTGCCCTTTCTTTTGGGCAGTTTGAAAAGGTGTGGTGTTGTATTGAGAGTGGCTTTTGTGACCCAGATCTGTGTTCTTTCAATTGTGCTGCTCTTTACTAAGTGAAAAGAGGTTTTGAATAGGGCTTCTGCTCCTCTTCCCTCCCCTTCTTTCCAACTCAGTTAGGGACATATTGATGTTGGAGTGTCTAGTTACTAGGAACAAAAGGCTTGTTTCTGGTGTGATAGTATCCCTCCAGGGCAATTCAGTATGTGGATGAATTGCTGCCCAGTAATACCATTTTTTCATGCTGGAGAAGAGAACCTAGAATTCTTCCGTCTTCCCTCCATTAAATTGACTTTTCAAGGAGAAATAAATAAAAATGTAGTTGAAATCATAAAATGCTATGAAGAGGAGAACAGGTCTACCTGTTTAAACCCTGTACATCCGAGCCTGTGTGTTTTAAA